CCAGGGGCAGGAGGGTGTGGAGGTGCCCTGGCCAGGTGCCGACCTGCCACACACAGCAGGCAATGGACAACTGACACAGCTGGATGCCGTTGCTGAGGGGGAGACCTGTGCCAATCCACCTGCCTCACCAGCCCCGGACACGTGGTAAGTCCTGCACTCAGAAAGTGCCCTCCCGGTCCCCAGTTCTATCCCTGCCCCCACTACCTGCACTTCCCTGATGCCAGGTTCCCCCCCTTCCACCACAGCACACAGAAGGGCAGGACACAGTTCAAAACTTTGAGCAGCCTATGTCCCCACAGCTGGGTGGGCACAGGCCTCTCACACCACAGAAGGTGTGGATGCTGGTGGCAATGTCCTCCTTGACATCAGAGGGCAGAGATATGTAGTGCTGTAACAGATAGCCCTCCAGGCAGCAACCGAGGTTGTGGGGCAGTCTGGGCTTGCCCCCCATGCCACTGTAGCTCCGGAGCACAGGTGAACACAGGGGCAGGGGAGGGGAGACAGACTGCCTGCAGCCAGCACCCAATGGCTCACTAGCCCCAAGGGAGCAAGTGGGGTCAGGGTGTTTGGCTGGTGGCCCCTGGGCCAAGCCCTGCCCAGGCAGCTTACCATGGTCTCTGGGCACCTGTACACAGTCAACCTCCAATCTGAGGCTAGGCAGCGTAGGGCCCCTGGTGCAGAACATCTTATCTCTGCTATGTAGCAAACTAGCACAAAAGGCTTCTGTCTCTTGCCTCTGCAGTACCAACATCTGGACACAGGAGAGAGGCTACAGGGCCCTGCAGGAGTGCTGCTTCGTGGTCAATGCCACCTGCCACTGGAGCTGCCTGGATGCAATGGCTGCACCAGCAGTGCACCAGGGACTTGGACCTTCCTGCTCCGGTGGCTAGTAGCGGTGGTGGAGAACTGGGTGACGCAGGAGCAAGCATGGCAGCAGGCATGGAAGCTGGCTTGGTGAAGGAGACCACCTGGGAGGAGGCACAAGACCGGGCACAGCCGGAGCACTGGGCCTGTCTGGAGGCCCTGGAGCATAAAAGCATAAAACTGTTCCAGCAGCAACTGATCAGCCAAGGCCAGCCAGTCGAGGCCATGTCCAGGCTCCCCACGCCTGGCACCTGACCCCGGCCCCACAGGGCCTCTGGTTCTTGCCTGCTGCCACACAGCAAGCCCCCACCCAGGGCTCAGAGGAGGGCCTCTACCACCTCCTGCCCACAGGAGCCCCTGGCGTTCACTGCGGGCCCATGGGGAAACTGTCCACAGCCAAAGTGCTGACTGACTGCCACCAGGCTCTGCACCCTGGGTGCTCTCACCCCACAGCCCCCGACTCCAGGACTCAGAGAAAGACTGAGACTCTTGTACATAGTTTTCATTTTGGGAGGAGGATTTTTTATTGTTAGCAATTGGGGAGGGTGGTGGAGGGGCTCTGTGTGTTGGGAAGGGAGGGAGCTCTGTTGGTTGAGTGGAGGGTGGGGGTAGGAGTTCTGAGGGGAATAAAGGTTTTCATAGCAAACGTGTGTGTTCTGGAGTGTTCTGGAGTGGTGTTGGGTAGTGGACGGGGGTGTGTGTGGGTCTCAGGGTAGATGGATGTTGGTGGGGACATCTGGGCACAACTCAGTCTCCTGGTGCTCCAGGTGGGGCTGGAGCTGGCACAGCATGTCTTCAGAGGTGGCCCGGGTCATCCAAAACGTGTCAACCCACTGGTCATCATCCCATTCCTGCAGCACTGGTGTGCTGCCACCACTCCTGCCTAGCGCAACAGGCCCAGAGGTGGTGGGACAGGAGGGCAACGGCGTCCTGGAGCCCATGGTCACCATGGCTGGTGGCAGCAGCTGCATGGCAATGGGAGCCCTGGAAGGCCATATACCAGTCATCCAGCAGGCAGCTGGAGCAGGTGGAGGAGCCAGGTGGCTCAAGATGGCCGAGTGGCAGGCACTCGGAAGAGTGGCAGATAAGCAGGACAGCTGCGCCAGCCCTAAGGAGCAGGGGACACTGTCCCTGGGCGCCAGGGTCAGGAGCTGGGACAGCCAGGGCTAGGAAGCACAGCTGTGGTAGGAGCAGGGCAGGCACATGTTGTCTGTGTTTCTGCCATGCTGCTGCTCTGACTCAGGAAGTGTCAGCCCAGAGGTCACAGCGCAGAGGATGTGCTTTCAAGATCGCTGTCAAGTGCTGCAAGCTGGCTCTACCTTCAGCATGGCTGCCAAGTGCTGACAGCCATGTGTCCAGAGGCACATAGCAGGGCTGGAGCCACTTGGGACTAAATTTAGTTCCAAGTCCCACCACATGTGGACACCTGCTGAAAAATGCTTAATTCACATTAACTTTAAGCAGGCTTGAGTTCACATGTAGGCACACCCTATGTGACTTTGGACAAAGTGAGCTTTTACTCACCCATCTTTTCCCCTTCTCCCCCCACCAAGCTTCTGTTGCTGCTTATATCACTTGTTGCATCTTGTCTTAAATTAGGACCTGGTACTGCAAAGGATTTGATCCCACCACATGGTGGAAGTGGTCTTCTCTCCTGGTTCTTATTGCAGAACTGAGGCCTTTGATTGTACACTATCTCTTACCTGTGTTTGTATAGCATTTAGCTCAGCAAGGCTATGATGTCTATTGAGGCCTTGGGCACTACACTTATAATTAAATACCAAAAGAATTAGAAGAGGTTTTGTTAGTAGCAAATAATTAACATGGTATTAGAAATAATGATTTCTCTCTCGTTCTCTCTCTCTTTGTCTTTCAGATTCCTTCGTTGCACTGAATGGTAAGGAAGTTCTTAGTCACATCATTTGCTGTCTGTACAGTTCTGTTTTGGAGGAATCATCTTTTACTAATCTTTTAACTATTTTCATACTTTTTAAATGTATTTTCCTCATTTATTTTTTCATAGACATTTCAACTGCTTCGCCTGATCATGAAATGTCTTACAACACAGTGTATGGTCAGTTTATGGATATTTTTAAAAATTCTCCCCAAATCCTTGTGTTAGCTGGTTCCCATTCCCAAATAGAAACAACCATTTGTGTTTTGTTGCATTGGGCCTGATTCACTAATCTCATACCCACATTATTCTTGATATACAGTTATTCATTTCTTGATCTTCCCTCAAAACTGACTGGAGCCAAAACAGTTTCTGACTATTTTAATAGCACTCAAAATGCAGAACACTAAACAGAGCTGATCAAAAGCTACACCAGTGTCTAGAAAGAAGGATCGTGGGGAACAGTTACATAACTACTCACTGAGGAAAAGAAAACAGGAACAGCCCCACCAGGTCAGAGAAGTAGTCTATGTGGTCCAGTATCCTGGCTCCACAGCAGCCAGTTCCAGGAAAAGGAGCAAGGAACTCTGCCTTAGGCAGTTATGGAGTAACTTGCCATAACAAAAGCTACTTTGAAACTTTCACCAGCAACCTTCATGACAAAGGGTGCATCGCCTCTACACTTCTGAAGTGTCTTATTTATTTGGAGACTTCCAACATTCAGAATATCCTAGCTCACTCCCTGAAGTGAGCTAGAATCCCACCCCTTACTCTGAAGGCAAAGGGATTCACATCAATAAGTTCTAACCCCAGTACCTGTAGTACAGGTAAAGGCTTGTGTATGGTGGCAATAGCTTAGAATAGCTGTTGGGGAATATTAGCTTCAGATCTAGATGCACATATTGTGCCCTCAGAGTACCTCTGTGCAGTTTAGCTTAGTCCATTTTGAAAGATTAAGCTAAATCACAAAAGTGCTTTTAGTGCAGAATTGTGAACTTTTAGTGTCCGCTTGAGATGTTAGTACAAAACAGCTATTGCACATCACATTCAAACCCAAACTCTTTTTGCTATAGCTTATCATACAGATAATCCATTAGTCATTACTCTAACAGAGGTAGATGCCCACAAGGCAGGAGGAACTGCTGTTGCTTCCCATTAAGTTCAGTGTATGCAGGATTGGTGATTAGTGATCAGGCTACACAGGCCTAAACTCCATCAAACTGAGACAAATTTAGCAGGTAGTATGCAGTACACATTAGATGAATACCTTCATCCTGTGCTTACCAGAAGCTTAAGTACAAAACAGAACCAAAAGCAGCTCACTGAAGCAAAATGTAAATAACTGCAGACACAGTAATGGCATTCAGCAGTTAAAAAAATGTTCTGAAAGTTATTTATAACCAGGAAATGGAAAATACGCAGGTGAAATTTGTTTGCAAGTGTGATAATGAAAACCTATGAAGGCAACATATAGAGAATCAAAGACAAGCTTAAACTTTGTAATATGTGGGAGGCTGCTGTTTCATCTGCCAACAAGCTCGTCCTCTCTTCAAGTTTAAAGAGCGTTTTCAGTTTCATACTTTCAAAGCCTATAGCAGTAATTAAAGCACAGCAATAATAAACTGTACATTGCTGAATCGGAAGAAAAGGAAATATGACTTATGCATAGTGCTGATATGCAATACGATTTTGATTGGCAAGTATTTTGGTATTCCCGGTCACAAGTACAACACACAGTCTTACCTCCAGGGTTGTGGAAGGGCTGTTGGTTGACCTAGATTGCAATATGGACTTTGGGATAGGCTATTCTTTTCATCTGACCAAAGTCATGACCATTGGTCCCAGCGGGAAACAAAGTAAAAAATGCCATTGTTTTAAAGGTGAATGTATAAAGTATTCACTTGGATATCAGCCTTTCTCTCCCAATCACTGATATCATTTATTGGATTATTTTCCTAAAAAAAGATCTTTCTTATTTGACCCAATGGGCAAATACTGACTCATCACTCATTTTTTCTCATATTTCTTGCACTTAATACTAATGACATTCTTGAATCAAATTTTGATAAGCAGTCACTAGATAAGAGAATGTTTTATTAGTAGTTAAAATAACAGTAGTAATATCACAATCAGGTTGACAGCCCTTATTCCTGTTTCTGTAAACATTTCTTATGCTTACTAACTAATATGATAATTCTAAAGAAATAATTTTAGCATGAACAGAGTTATATACATTAACAGTGCATTTTACAGTTATTAAACATAAACATAAATGCATAATTAACTGGCATTTCACAGTGGGTTGTGAAATTACTGACAAATACCTTACTGGTGTAACACAAATTGCTGGTATATACCAGAATGCAATCAAATGGATATTCAGACTACCTTAGGAGCCTGTCACTTCAGTGAAGCTACTGCCAATTTTTCCATTGTATTGGAGAGAAGAACCAAGGTCTTAACTTGTATTCTTCACATCAGCATCCTCTTGAATTGGTAGACAGATTTTTCTTTTTTGGGGAAACTCACCTGATCAACTATAAACAATCAATAACATAAAGTGCTCACATAGCTAACTACGCACACTTATTTTCCACACTCAAAAAGAGAGACTCTGCAGAAGACCACTCTATGGAAGATCGGATTCATTTGAAACAAAATGCAACTATTTAGACAAGAAGTTCAGATTCTTAACTCAAAGCAGACTTTCCTCTGCAGAGTTGTAGGCAACTTCAATGACTTTTGGAAACCTCAATTTTTAGTGAATTGGGCCCTTATTTTACCCTCTAGCCACATTCCTTTCTCCCTCTGTAGTACTGATTTAGCCTTTCCTTCTAATTCTCTATTAGGTTGGTACAGTTGCTAATAGGAAAATGGGTGTATCTACATGTTCATTAACGTGCTGTAGTTACAGCACATTAAGTTTAGCACGTGTTTAACCAAGTACTAAATCAATGTGCAGTAACTCATGCTACTGTGCAGCACCAGTGCCTGGGTTTTTAGTGATGCTTACTGCGCAGTAGCGTATAAGCACAGTTTTTGCCTGGCACACTACTGTGCAGTGTTATTAGGCTACTGCACGGTTAGCATCTCATGTAGACGTGCCCAGTGTGTAGAATATCTTAGGCTCTAAGGTCTTAATGACATGCACATTAGATTAACTACCACATACATATTGAATCCCTGTCTTTGTTTTAAAGTTAAAACATCTCTCTATATTTTATAAGTATACTATAGAATGAATAGTCATTAAAGGAATACAACCCTTCTGAATCACCTTCAGTGCTTACAGACACAAACTAAATTACAACTTCCAAATTCCTCAATGTGCAATACTCTTGCTGGATCTGATTGTTTGTTCCTGTTTTATTATTATGATTACAGAACCTCAAAGGCAGAGCTTCACAAATGATGCAGGCTCCTAAATCAGATTTTTTAAAAGCCTGTTTCTTTAAACAGCAAGTCTGCCTTAACAATAAAGGCCTGAAAAGTAGTATATACCTGCAATTGTTCAGATGCATAATTTTAAAACAAAGGCAAAATCTTAATGAAGAAATAACATAGAATTGCTTATAACCATAGTGTGTAAGACAATGATATTGGACTCTCATTATATAGAGATATTGGACTAGCATAAATGAATTCTCATTTATGCTAAAGCCACTTCATATTGCTGTAAAGCATTTTTACACTATCAGAAGGTGCAATGAGGCCTAATGAGAAAAAGGCTGGTTGCATATTACAAACTGTACAGTTCATTGTTGAGATGCAACAATCACTCTGGGTGAAGTGTACCTCTGCATACCTTTTACATCCTTCTTAAGCCCTACTTGGAGGGTGTAAGTGAAACTTAAGTAGCACATATTTTTTTGATGGCACACTGCTGAAGGATGAATTTCACCCTAAGGGGCTGATTTCACAGATGCTGACCAGGTACAGTAATACTGCTCTCCTGGGAGCAAGCAGTATCCAGCAGTAAATGTCTGCAGCGTTAGGCTTGAGTACAAGTGGGAAAGGTTATGATGCTTTCATCCATTGCTGCCCCTCTTCCTCTCTCAAATATATCAAATAGAAGAAATTTCTCTCAATTACAGGTAGAAAATCATTTCTCAACATGTACTAGACTAACACATTAGTAACAGAGTGAATAAGCTGCTTTCTTGCATTTATGTAAAACACTTCTCTACCTAACTGCCATCTGGTACACATTAATATCTTCACATAGCCATAGATTTCCATTACCAGGGAGTTCTCCATGTATTTGTAGCATATGGTTCAGGAAATCTTTCTGCAGAAAACGTGTCCCTTAGGCATATATTTCCCCTAGATTACCGTATTAAGAAATGTTTTTCCTTAGCCATACTTATGGCATTACCATAAAATTGCCCCTTGAACACAGCTAAATTGAAAGTGTCTGGACAGAGATGTGGATATAAAATGCATATCAAACACAGGTATAAAATATGACTGCTACTTGGCAGTACTTTCTCTTGCTTATAACTCCTTATCAAGCTATGACTAATTGGTTTCTCATGTGGAGGGCAGCAGTATTTGCAGGGCTCACCAAATATTGCACACATTATTGCAGTTGTTGAATGGGGTATTAACTTGGAGTCTGGAACCCCATGAATCCTGGCATGATAGTTTTACCCTGAGGGAAAAGAAAGCATGAAAGTTTCATAATTTCTACTTTCTAGCCTGTTTTCTGTCCCATTGCTTCTGTTATTTCTTGGGGATGAGCACAAGAGCTGACAAGCATAAAATGGTATAGAAGAAAAAGCTTTCAAGTTACAGCATATTACTATTTTAGAAAGGCGCATGTGTTCACAAGCTGGAGCTGCACCAGACCCTTTGGAAAGAGGTGCCTCTTTGGCACAGTTGAAGGCCAAACAGCAAGTTTGGATCAAAATCTATTCATTTAACTGTTACCAATACTTCCAGCACTGCTCTGTAGCTTTGTGGAAATCTTTAGAAGTGGATAATCTCCTTGGCTTCTCTATTGTATGTAAGCAATACAAACAAATCTCTTTAAACAAAATGCAGCCTCTCATTTGCAGTATTAAAGAGAACTGGTGGAACCACACTTCCTGTCATGATAGATAAAGAATAATACAGTGCCCTTGTCAGCATAATTCTGCAGCCTGAGGTACAGCTCTAAATTAATCATGTTAATGATTTACTGTAGCATCTCAAGGCTGTATCCATGGTAAAAACACTGTGGATCTGACCTGCTTTTCCTGCAAATGATACCAGTTAAATACAGGAGATGGCTATCTTCATGTCCTAGGTTAAATGTTCTCCAAAGTGCCACTGCATGTAACCCTGTGTGATGAATCATATAAACTACTAGAAAGTATATGGGAAAAGCAGAGAGATTTTTTCTTTCTCTCTGGATGAATTAACATTCAGTGCGGGTCCATTAAATTTAGTAGAATTTAGTAGAATTTAATAGAAAGCAATTTAGTAGAAAGCCGCTGCTTTTTTGCTGACTCCCACTGCAGTTCAGCCTTGTGAGGTGGTTACAAACCAGATCCACAAGATTTAGGCATCTAGCAGCATCAACAGCTATTTAGATCCCTGGCTCCTGAATTACAGGGGTGTAGGTTGTAGTCGCGTCGGTCAAAGGACACAGGCAGACAAGGTTCTTTGAGTAAATCTGATCTCTTTTATTAGACCAATTCAAATAGAAAAAAGTTTTCCAACTATTTGAGTTGGTCTAATAAAGAGATCAGATTTTCCCAAAGAACCTTGTCTGCCTGTCTCCTAAACTGGAATCTAGGGCCCTGAATTAGATGCCTCAGCTCCCTGTACAGTGTGCAAGGAAATCCTAGGGACCTCAAAATGTGATCCAGAACAGCCAGTACAGGAAGCCACCTAAAGTCAGCATGTGCAGGATAAAGCTGCTTAGAGCGTAGTTTTATGAGATAGGTGTTTTAATGTAAAATGCAGAACAGGCTTACGAACACAGTTTGGAATCAAGATCTCACCCATCAGAATCAGTTTCCCTTCTGCTCTTTTTTCATGGTGGCACAGTTTCAGCAGCAGGAGGGGATTATCCCACCAACCAACTAAAAGATAGCTGGTTAGGGAATGTACCTAGGAGGTGAATCCTTTCATGAGTAAAAGAAAATTGCATCTAGGTTGGCGCTCTAACAAAGCACTAAGCTGTTATATAAAAAGGAGTTCCACCTACTTCAGCCAGATTTTGAAAGAAAGCAGCAGCTTCCCCTGCATTTTGTGACGACATTCAAATTGGTGGTATGTGTCAGGCATCCAGGGACTTAGGCAAAGGACTGCCTAGCTTCTGGATCCCGATAAGCCAGGCATTGAGGTCGCTTACTGAGTCACTTATAGAATTAGGTGCATCTTAACAGGGTTGGACAGCAGTTGAGCAGGGGTTTTCAGGACTGCAACTTCGGAGTTACCTGTCTGAATTTCACCTAAGTCCCATTTGAGGTTCCTACAGCTTTTGTTTTGTTTTTTTTTGTTGTTTTGGGTGGGGTTTTTAGCCTGGCTGGCCATGCCCCATGAACATGTTGTTTGTTAATCTGCAGCATGTCAGAGGTGTTTGCAACAGCCTTTCTAGTAAAACCAGCAAGAACAGTGTTTCAAATCATTATAAAACTTCATGGAACAGGACTATAAACCTTTCTCCCTGCAGTTGAGATTATGACTTCTGTAGTGTGTAGCAGCCTGCACGGAAACTGGAGCTTGGCTCCAAATAAATAGCCTGAAAAAAAAACATTCTCCCTCAGGGCAGAGACAAATTAAAGCTTGAAAAGGCGCAGGCTGATTAAAAAATGTCAGGGCTTCATCCACAGGGAGTCAGTAGACAAATATCATAAAAGTAGCCACAGGAGTCAGTAGATGCTGCTCAGGGTCATGTGACTTCTGTGTCCCTGACAAAAAATCATGTGATTGGAGGCTGGAAATAATGCTCAGTTTCGTGCCTGCTCTCCTTTTAGCTGTATTACACAGTCCCCTTTGGACCAATGTATAAGCCCATTTAGGCAGAGACCACTCCAAAGCACTAGAACAGTGTGAGAAAATAACAAAGCATCTGGCATTTCATAAACTTTTTGTCACCATGGGAGCACCCAAGTCCTGGACAGTCTGTTATTCCATCGGGAACCTGAGGCAAGAATCAGCTGATCTGTTCAGCGTGTGGTTAATATATCATTCTCAAGAGTCATCTATATTAAAAGTTGCACTATTTTAACTTTAAATTGGCTTGCAAATCAGCTAAACCAGTGCAATGGAGTGCAGACACTTAATTTGCTGGAAATTCAGCTTATAATCACATAGTTTTAAGTCACTGTCGTACTGAATCAAGGCCAACAGACTTGAAAATGAATTGGAAATGAATGAAGAGCGCTCATACCTGGCTGCACCAGTTTAACTCAGTCATGTTAAACCCAAACCACTACAGCTTTGAAGATAAGCAAAGCCAGTGTTTCAGAGACCCATAAACATTCTTTGACTCTTCTGAAAGCGGGTCTTTTTACTGATCCAACAGGTTCAAATTCTGCATTTCCTATGGGCAGTGGCTTCAAACAGCTTTTAAAATGTTGTGCAGCCTCAGAGAAGTCTATCCATCATTCAGGGAAAACAGTGCTTGTGCACCTGAGTGTAAGATAGCTGGGCCAGTGATTAATGTGTCGTATCTTTCCTAACTGTATTTATAACATGAACAGGACACTCCAGTTCACTACTTCCAAGCACCACCACTTCTGATTCTCCGGCTCAAGAGGGTTATGATACTAGGATGCTGGATTGGAAGGATCCGGTTGGCTCATCTGAAAATACAGATCATGTGGCAGTGTCATCTCATAATCACCAAGACAAGAAGGGTAAGGCCTTGGAAATGACTTCCTATGATGGAAAGGGAGGGGGGGGTGACTACAGTGTAACTGCTTCCAGCTGGCTCAGGGCAACATGTAATAAAATTCCTGCTCTGTAATTAAAAGCTTATCGCAAAGTTAGAAGCAAAATAAGCAGTCTTCGACTTAACCCTAGCTATTTACTAAGGAAACCACACAACACAAATAAATGTATGTGAATTTACAGCGAGTATGTAGATGTGAGTTGAGGAGGTGGAGATTTAACTGTTTAAACTTGAGTTTCATCATCATCTTTGATGAAGGATGATTCACTGCTTTATATTATTATTAACGATGCATTTCTGTATTGCTTTCCATCTAAATACTCAGCAAGCCTTGATTAATTTAGCCTAATCATACGCAGATGGGCATATAGGCTCATATCCTTAAAGGTACTTAAGCAGCCAACATTTCTGTTATCAATGGCCGCATCTAAATGAGATGCTGAATGCACAGTAACCCAAGACTACGGTGCAGTAGCGGTGCATGGCAGAAAGCATGGCATGATGCTACTGCACAGCAGTCTCAGGTTACTGTGCAGTAGCTTCACAAAAAAGTCATTTGTTGGCACTACTGCACAGTAACATGGGTTACTGCACAGTCATTTAGTACTGACTGTGCAGTAACAACTGTGCAGTCACATCTCATGTAGACGTGGCCAATGAGATTTAGGCTTATAAATACTTTTGGGAGGTTGGGCTGTGTACAGGGTTATTAATTTTTTTAAAGATGCAAGTAGGTTCTTAGTGGGATTGTTAAAAGCACCTATGGGATAGATCAGGGGTTGGCAGTGTTTTTGGGCAGAATGCCAAAAACACCCACAACCTTGACTTGCAAGTTGCTGGCATGCCAGGGACGGAAGGTGGATGAGATGCAAAGGGCCTGATCCTTGTTGTAGCAGTGAATCCATGGCCCCTTTCCCACCACCTGCCCAAGGCACACGTGCCAAGTAAAATGCCTTCACATGCCACACTCTGGCACCTGTGCTAGGGGTTGCCTACCCCTGGGATAGATTGACAAAATGGCTGAAGGATTATAATGCTCAACATTGTAGGGCCTAAACTTTAAGTGCGCTTTTGCCTCATGGAATCCACAGCCGTGAGTTGCACCACTCGCCTCTACCCCCCTCCCAGACCTATATACTGTATATAGGGACAGTATAGGCCCCCATGCACAGGTTTTCACAAAGACTGATCAGGCTTATGCATGAGCTATGTACCCAGGTGCACAGAATGAGACACTTCTGGTCTTGTGCAGAAGCAGAACTTAAGATGCCTGGACAACTTAAAGAAAAAAAACTGAAATACTCATGGAGTTAAGGCACCTCCAGGATTTGAGGGCAACTGAGCAGGGAATTTGAGGATCACACCTTTAGCCTTTGGCTTATGAATTGCACTTTGGCTGTCTAAGTCGTTCCTTAAATATAGCCCTTAGTCCAAGGGTAAGGAAAATGATGGCTCTGGCCAGCAGCTGGACTCCATTTCCCAGCAGCCTCTGCTCAAGTGCCCCCCCCCCCC